AGATGTACTCTTCTGTCCAAACAAATCTCTTCCTAGGACTTTGATGGATTTTCTGTTAGAAATATCTGTTCTTTTTCTGCATGCATTACAATGATTTGTCTCTGTGCTCGACTGTCCTGCCTGCAGTTCAGATTTGTTTTTTTAATAAGGTTAAGGAGAATCAGAGTTCACTGACTGTTCAGTAACTCAAGTCTTTTAGTAAGAATGGGTAAAAATCGTCTTCTTAAACTGCGACGACTCGTTCCCTCGGCTCCTCAAATTGAACCAAACCAACTCCGTACTGGAATTGGGGTTTGGAGTAAGTGTAGAGGAAGTAGTGGAAGCAGCGTGTGGTGTTAGAAAGACTGACAGAGTACGTGGCAGCCAGTCAGGAGACAGTGTGTTGGCGAGCGTCTTGTTTGGCTGTGAGGCCTCGGGCTGCACTGACAACATTAGCACACTTTTCACCTCTGATACACAATACTCATGTCACCGTCGCCTTGGTGTGGCATCGCCCGTGCCAGACTTGACACCGCTGCTGTTTGGGAGTGTCACTTTAAGTTTCAGGGCTTGAGCTTATTAGTTCAATCAGACTCAGAGCGGAGTGTGTGCCAACTTAAAAATCATTTCCAATTGTGCCGTAAAGATACTTGAAATTCAAATTCACTCCACACTTGGCCAAGTGTAAATCCAGGAGCAGGTTTTTATCACAGTCATGGAAAGACAGTTTGATTTGTTTTCATTGTTAAAAGAGAAGGAAACACTGTGCTCTGATGGATCCACACTCACACCAAAAAATACCTTCACCTTGTCAGCATGTGTTCACAGCATTCTTCAGCTACACATTCACCTCTTTGACAGGATGTGAGAGACATCTGGCCTGTGACTGATCACGCAAAAAATCTTGGCATTTTCAAAACAACAATAACAAGCAGAGGTGGTCATTGTTAGTACATTTTTATGATTAAAACAATAAATCCCCAAAACTCTACCCATGTGTGGTGTAAAGGCAAATTTGATTTCTTTGGTCTATGCCTTTATTTTTTGGGCCAGGGTCTGCACTGACAGCTGGCTTCTTTCAGTCAAATATCTGTTTTGTTAAGTCGACAGTGCTGTTGATGGTCTGATAACTTCTTAATCTGACACACACACAAAGAAATAGGTGAGGTTTGAGGCATTGTCTCATGTTGCATGGCACTTGCAACGATATTTTGAGCAAAAGCAAGAGTTGAATCATTTCAGCCAGGACCTAAACCACTGCAATCTGCAGCAGTAACAATCCTGCAAGAAATAATGGTAAATGTTCCTAATAATGTTGCTCAATTAACAATATTATTAATATTATTATTAATTGGAAATTTTAAAAAGTCTGATGTTTCATTGCTTTTGAAACAATATTTTGAGCATTGATGTGATCCACCAGCGCCCTCTCATCCATGATGACTGTACTGTAGCCACAGACTTCAAACAGCCCAGCTGTGTGATCAAATGGAACGCTCTTTGTGTAGCGTGCGTCACACACAACCGCTCGATGAAACCAGAATAACAGTGGAGAATCCTCCTCCTCCTCTGTGTTTTCCTCTCTCACCCTCCCTCCCCCTTCAACACCTCCCTACCCCTCCTCGCCCCCTCAGCCCCACGCCGCGCCCTCGTTTCCCCTGCAGTCTGTGTGAGTGGTATCCATCTGTCAGCTGTCAGTGCCAGGGAGTGATACACAGAGCTGTCACTTCTCGTCAGCCCGCATTGGTGAGGCCTTTTGCAGCTGCCCTGTCTGACTGGAGGCCAGAGGAAGTGTGTGCATGTGTGTGTGTGTGTGCATCAGAAAAAAAGCAAAAGGGTATTCAGGGGACAGTAAAGCAATTAAATGGGAGACAATTGCAGGAAAGCTGGGGGAAGATTGGAAGCAGCACAGGACACACAACAGACTGTAAATATCACATTACCTTAATCCGCTCAGCACTGTATCACTATGTGCTCCATACAGGATGAAGTCATCCGTGACCTTTATCAACCTCTATTGGTGACCAGCAGGAACTGCACACACAGGAGCAGAGCCCTCCAAAATCAGAGTGTCTGTTTTGTGTGGATGTAAAATAAATACAGGGAGGAACAGAGAGCAGTGTGTTGTTGTGTCGTCAACGTGCACTTCTGTGCATGTGTGTGTCTGTTATAGCTATATATTTGGGGACATTTTTGCGAGGGGAAATATTATTCTTTTCTGGGCGCTTTCTCCTTGTAGTTACTGATAGAAAGGGAATGTTGTGGTGAGATTACAAATGTGGTCAGATTAGGGTTAGAGTTACAGGTTAGACATTAATGTGTGTAGTTTATATTCCAGTTGGTTTAAGGATAAGGGGTTGAGGAAGGCGTGTCTTTATGTGACGTGCTCACAAAACACAAAAATCTGTGTGTGTGTGTTCAGTGACGGCAAGAACAGATGGATGAGCTTATGACTCATAGGAAAGTCATGGAGTTAGAAGAGTCACAACTCACTGTGTCCTTTAAACAAGTTTAAAATATGTGTTGCATGTTAGAAACACAAATATTTGATTCGATTCATTTTCAGTTTAAAATAATCCTTTTAAGGAAATTTAGAAAATGCTTTGGTCATATACATGATTATACTGTATGTCGTAGATCTGACTTCTTATTTCTCAGTCTTGGAAACGCTCAGTTTTTTTAGACTGCTTTGTTTTCTGTTTTTCCACACACTCGTCTGATGGTATGGAGTATTTGTAGACCTGTAAATATTAATATTCCAGTACCTTCATATCTTAAAATGTGAAAATATATGGACTTTCAAGGATTACAGCAGCCTTTGAAAAATGTTTTGGCTTTGTTGAAAGGACAAAGGAAAAAAAATGAGCTTAAAGTTTAAATATTTTTTTCTCTTTTATTGATTTTAAACATTTTCCTCAGTTGTGCGTTGATAAAACAGAGCAGTGACCACCGACTGCCTGTAGGCTTCACACATCTCGGTGAAATGTATGTTTTAGCAGACGTCTGAGTAAATCATTTTCATGTCCTCGTTAATAACAGCGTTTGTTAACGACAGGCCAACAGTGACATGTGAACATCTTTCATCTCTGTGTGTAAACTTGTGTTTTCAGCTGTTCTGACGTCAGTGTGTCTCTCTCTACCTTCTGGGCCTTTCAGATGAAGCGACCTTCAGGAACATGGAGATGACAAGCATGACCAGAGCCGTGTGGTAGAGAGGGATCCAAGAGCCCGGCCTGAGGGGCCCTCAGTGTGAGAAACTCTTTTTCCACTTCTTCTCTGTTTCATTTAAACATGTCCACACACACACACACACACACACACAGAGAGAGAGAGAGAGAGAGAGAAAACACAGCTTTTACAGCTTAACTTGTTGCAACTTCAATTTTATACCAATTTAATAATTTAATATTTTCACAGAGAGTCTGTGTGTGTGTGTGTGTGTGTGTGTGCTTGCATGCGTGTGTTTTATTGCCTTAGAGAGATCCTTTTAGAGGCGTTCTAAATCATAACTTGTAATTTAATGTATGTAATTTCTTTAGCCACTCTTGGCTAACTTTTAGGATTTTATTTTTCTTACAGGACGACCATAACATAATTAATTTCTGAGTATTTTTTTAAACTAAAAGCTTTTTCTGGGTGGGGGGCGCTTCTGCTTATGATTGGACTAATATCTTTACACCAAAGACTAACTTCTAGGTTCTCCTCAGCCATGTTTGGCAAACATTTAGCAATTGCTGATCCAACTTCTCGTTAACTTTTAACTAATACGTTTTGGCTAATTTTGGCGACACAGTAGCTACCCTTTAACAGAACCATTTGAACCTAAACATCTGGTTTATTTACGTTAATTGTCTGCTGACATTTAGCAATTGCTGATCCAACTTCTTGTTAACTTTTAACTAATACGTTTTGGCAAATTTTGGTGACACAGTAGCTACCCTTTAACAGAACTATTTGAACCTAAACATCTGGTTTATCCACGTTAATTGTCTGCTATTTATTGACTAATTTGTCAGTTAATTCTTTGGGTGATTATTTTTCAACAAAACTTAATATCTTTAAACCCACTTTGTGTCATTTGTTTAATGAAAAGATGTTATTTAACAGCTTCTTCCATGAGCCGTTGTGTAAAGGTTAACACAATGTTACTAACACACACTACAGATAAAGGAGATGTGTGTTCTACACAAGCCTCGCGGCCGATTGGTGTTGGAATCATGCAGTGTTGCAGATTCTGTTTTAGAGCAGCTGCTGGCATTGGCTGAGGAGAACAGTGTCTTCTGGGAAATGCCCTAACCTCTGATATATATTTCACGTTTTCACAGATACTTATATAACATATAAAAATATACCGTTTTAGGTCGGTCAATAGTTTCAGTCTCTTGGGCTTTCCCCTAAAAACAAAAAGACTAAACCGTTACAAATTATACAATCAGACCAATCCATACTGTTTCTTTAACATCTGTAGGAAGAAAAAAACAAAAAAAAAACGACCAGATTTTATTTACAGTGCACTTTCTGCAAAGGAGGCTCAATGTCCTGGCCATAAAATGCCACTGAACACACCATTCTTCAGCATTGCACAATAAACTGACATTTCCCCACTGATGTGTATTATTCTCCGGCTGTAAAACTCAGGTGCTGTGACTGTGCTCATGTAGTGTTACCAAATGATTCATAAACTGTGCTGAGTCCGCGTTTTGCCGGAATGTGAACATTTTTCTTCTGAAATGTTCCCCATCACAGCGCCGTTCTGAATTATAGCACTGCTGAAGGTGGCAATCATGTTGCCAAATTAGTCTCTGACAATAAAAGGGGGGAAAGGACAAAACGCGACAATGGAGGGTTTCTCTTTTACACACTCCACAGTCAGGCTCAAAGGGTCGTTAAAAAAAAAAAAAACTCTGCATGTTTATCGTCTGTATCACGGAAACACTGACACACACACACATGTCTGTGCAGCTGCTCTCGTCGGCACAGACATTTTCTTTTATTTGTTCAGCTAAGCCAAAACCATGTATATAACACCAAGTGTAACGTGTTTACAGCAAATCCCAGTATTAATATTCACTTATTATTAAAGGAGGGTGTAGACTCTAGTCTAATACAATAAAAAGAATAAAATAAAATTCAGCCAAACTGAAATTACATACACATAACGCTAATGATGTGGATTTAAAAAAAAATTCAGCCATTTGATCACTATAATATTCACGTTCACATTCACACCTAGGTCGATTGAGAGTGAATAATTAAGATAATCCTCCATTGTTTCGGACTGTGGGATGAAACTGCAGTACCTGAATAAATCCTGTATACACATACTGTAAATACACAAAGACTACAGAGGTCTGAAACCAGCATTCATCTGGCTGTAAGGCAAGGGCACTAACCACTCTCCCACTAGTATTTGACCACATATATAAACATTACATACAGTCACACAGTTTGGCTCTGTGATTTATTCTGAATTTGAGGAACATCCCTGTGATCTAAGAACATCCTGAGCTTTTGTGTGTATGTTTGTGTGTGTATGTGTTGTGTAATTTGGTTGTGTACGCCTGATACGTGACATTACTGGGATAAATAGAATCAGATGTTGTCTGGAGATAGATGGTGGGGGGAAAAAAAAACCCCAAGTCTCTTCAAAGTGTTTTCGACTAAAGGCAGGAACTCCTTCCTGACACATCAGTGAAATGAAAAACAACAAACCTCACACTCCTGCTCCTGCTTAGATTCTCAAATTCAGTTTTTTTGCATTTTTTTTAGAAGGCAGTGTTAAGCTACAATCAAGACATTTTCAAAGCACAAGCGCAAACGGCAGCCTGTAAGAACTCCAGGGCTCAGGTTCTGACTAATCTCAGCACGTTCAGGGTAAACACCTGCAGCGATGGGTTTCACCGCGATGCTGATTCCTGACAAAAGGGTGACAAATTGTGACAAATTGCTCATCCGGAATTCTTCAGTTTACCAGGGAGAACACATTAATAACGGTGCATTATTAATAGCACTTTATTCCAACAGAATACGTTTCACACGTGTTTGTTTCTAAAACATTCTTCACTGGAGGATCATCTGAAATGATTACTGTACCAGGAAGCAGGTGCTTCAGCACTCTGAATATATACTGCAATATGTATTTATTGTATTGTAGTATTCCCCTCGTGAACTTTGTTGGGTGAATTTTTTTCGCGTGTACTTTTTAAATTATTAATATAATCTTTTTATTAATATATCACTTATTTTCTCTCATAGAATTGGCAATTGATAATTGACTTTAGCTAATCATTTGGATAACATTTAGACCTTTTTGAAGACCAGCTCTCAGATAATCCTGTGCCAGTGTTTCGTCCTCTCTTTAACTACTTCCACATTTCATGGGCAGTTCACTGTTCAGTTCACGGTAGTGATCGTCTTCACATGCGGTTCACTGTTCAGTTCACGGTAGTGATCATATCCACGTGCCGATCTCGTTGCCAAAAACCTTCTAGTGTAAATGACCAGTCGTCCAAACGTTCCCTTCCTTGGTGGAAACCTCTCTCTGTTTGCAGTGTGCTTCTCTGTGGATGCAGGTGACTGTACAGTATTCAGGAGTGAGAGACAGTGGAGGCTGCTGCCCTACATACACTGGATCCTCTCCAGGGACAGACGGAGAGTCTTTGATTCTCTCCAGTATACATTTTGTCATGTTTTTATATGGTTCAGCCAATAAAAGCCAAGTCCTTGACTAAAGACGTGGACTCCCCCAGGACGTCTGCTCTACATGGACTGAACTTGTTTTCCTCAGTCACTCTCCTCCACCTCTTCTCACTTCACTAATTACCTAATGCAGCGTTTATGGCCTGAGAGCTGCTCATTTACCTGCTGTGATACTCGCTCTTCATCTTGGTGATAATTTAAGGTTTTACCATGAATCTGAGCCCGGGAGGCTACGCTACAGCTCAGAGGAAAAACTGACCAGATCGGTGCAGATGTGTATCGACGTGATCCTGACGGCTGTACAAACCCAAACCAAAAATGTTGATAAGAAGTAATTCATATTATTATGTTTTAAATTATTTTATTTTCCCTCGTGATATCATAATTAATGGTTATTTTATGCTACATTCGCTTTAGCATGTAGCTCTACTCTTGCTAACTTTTAGCTGATTTTTTTCACTGCCGTGTGTTTTGACTAGCTTCACCATTTTTAGCATTGTTGAAAAGCTCTTTTGAAACTTTGAAAAATACCCCCAAATTTGCAGTTTGTGTTACATTTGTGATCAACAGATTTGTTGTGTTGGTAAATGTGGATATTTAACATTCTTCATTATTTTTTTACCAGTCTAGTCCAGTAAGAGTATATTTGCTTGTGGGTTCAAAGGTCAATTCGTCCGACTCATCATGTGATGTCACACTTGTGTCGTCATTGTAGTTCAAGGATCCATGTGTGTGTTTTTTTTTCTTTAAATGCTCTGTGTGTTTGTATCCTTTTTACTTTGGCCCATAGTTTAGCCTGTGACTGAATCACTACCTCAGAGGAATTTTAAGAGGTGAGCACAGAGGGGGGAGTTTTATAGTTAAGTGGGTTTGGACACAGTAAAGATCCAGGAGCTGGTGTTTAACAGGACTATTAACGGTGAGATGGGAGATCGATACAGCGAGGTAGAGAGGAGGCGCGTCTCTGTCACTCTGATGTGTTGTTAGCGCCCGACGCCGGAGTGATCTGGCTTCTTTCCAGTGGCTGGGCCTTGTCATGTACTTTGCTCCGCAGCAATTAAACCAGTCGTACTCTTTCCACTCCGTGCTACTAATTCACAGTCTGTAAATAAGCATTTCATAAATTAGAAGAGCATTAACAAGTGTCAGTGTGCACACAGATCTGTGACATAACAAATAATACCTTATTAACCGGGAGACTTGGTTTGGCAGCAGCGAAGAGACGACTCTCTGGGTCGTCTGTGTTTGGGTGGAAGGATTTAGGTTGTGATCAGGCTGATTGACTTGTTTTATTTCATATTAATACTCACAGACAGCTCAGTGTGTGTGTGTGTGTGTGTGTGTGAATGAAACTGCAGCTGGTGCTGGGGCTGCTCTGCTGATGGTACAATGGTTATACGACAGTCATGACTTAACAGTTAATGCACGAGAATTGTTTATTCTTTTTATTCTTATACTCTTGTGGTATAAACAAAAATAGTTCCTTTGGTGAAACACACAGTTCTGGCAGTGACATTTAGTTCTTTTTTTTTGCAGTGGAAACTCACGTATTACCTTACTTCCTGTCCAGTTCTTAGTACTAATACAGATAGTAGTAGCATAAATAGTTTCTAGTACTGTCTATTGTTCCTGGTACTATTTCTTTTTGTAAACACGTGTAGTTCCTGTCTATGTTGCTACTTCATGGCACTAATTACTGCAGTGGAAACACAGATAATTAGTTCTAGTAGAAGTAAACACAGTTCCTGCTGCTCAGTCTGTTAGCTATCTGTTAGCCTCTCAAACAGCTACCATGGATTTCTATGGTTTGAAACCTGATCCCTTTGACAACAGCTGGTGTGGCAGTAAATTCAACATTTGGTCTTAAATGATGATCCATGTCTCTGTGTGTTTGTTGTTTGTCTTTTTCCAGAGATCGGACGTACGCTCTGAGCGTCTGTGGTCAGTGAGGAGGTGCAGTAAGGAGGTGCTCTCTGTTTGACTTTGTCCTCCAGATGTCTTCAGTGAACTCCAGATGATCTCCAACATTGTCTCCTGCTCTCATCCCTCTTCATTCCCACTAACAATTAGGTAATGAAATATTGATTTTTAGTTAGATTCATATTGATGCTATTAGCTTTGCATTGATAAATCACTGTTGCTGCAGGAGCCGGAGCAGGAAGACATTACTGTGTGTTAATCTGATGGATATGCTGTCGTCTGCTTCTCTACCCCAACTGACTGAGTCCATCTTTTACCCAGGTTAGTGCCGCTCCATAATAAAGCTTCAACAAACTACTGTGTAAAAAACTCCGTCTGTGGATTTGAGGGCTAGGCTGCAAAGATGATTCAGTTATATTTGATTGTTCGTGTTTTTTCCATATGACATTTGCACAGTTTCCCCTATTTGTGTGTTTGGGGGGGGGGTCTCCTGATACTCCAGGCTCCTCCTATAGGCCAAAACATACATCAGCAGCTTCACTGTTCATTCTATATCGACCGTCAGTGTGAACTAAGAGTGAGAGGTTGTTGTCTGGACGTGTGGCTCTGCGTGTGCACCTCACCGTCATACGTTGTGCCCTAACAGTTGGGCTGCTTTGTAGAGTTGGCTGCATCTCAGTTGTCTGTTTTTGGTTGAACATCAGACTCCAGTTGTCGGGTGTTGATGTTCGGTGGTAAAAGTTCAGTCAGAGTCTGTTGAGGTTTTTATGTTTGCTCTTTATCTGCAGTCTTTTAGGTGGGATTTAAACTCATGTATTATACATGTGGCTGATTTGAGAGCAATTCTGTGACGTTGATCTCTATCATACACCTGTCTCCTGGAGTATGTCCTTCTCACCAGTGTCCAATTGTCTCAGGTGGAGCTGAATATTTTAACCTGCTGTCTCCTCATTACAGTCACAGCAGGCACTCTGTAGTACACAGTCCAGATTTACTTGAAGTAGCATTCTTTTATGACAGTGTTGTATATATATATATATTTCCTTTTTTAATTCAATATTGTAATATGCTTTTTTAGATCTGACTTGGAATACCCGTGGAAAAGTGCAATTTCAGTTATCATATATTGATTAGTAGGTCTATTCTATTCTTTTCTGTTCTATTCCATTTAGTCTGAAACAGTGGAACTTCTGTCACAGACCATAACTCTGTAATATTAACACTCTTTTCCCTAAGATCCATATTTTTCTTTATTATATCCTCTAACGTTTTACTGTAGTGACGCTCCCATTAAATTTGATTCTCTGTGTTATTAAAAAGGTCCTAAATTTATACAGTCCTGTCAGTAACCCCACTGTAGAACATGGTATTTTTCCAACATTAAAAAAATATTTTTCTTAAAAATTTAAAATGTCCCTTGAACAATTTTAAAAGAACAAGAGAAACAGAATTTCCTCCCAGGGTGAACTTGGTTCCCGTGAGGACATCCCTGTAGCGCACACACACTCCCTCTCCTGGCAGCTGTCACTCTGATCCACCGTCACTCTGTCTCCACCGTGAGCAGGCCTTTCTCTGTCAGAGAACATCTGCAGCTCTGCGGCGTCCTGACGTTATCAGCCCTCAGACCCTGCAGTGGTCCGGCTCCAGCTCACAGTCTCCTCTCTGCTGCCGGCGACTGAGAACATGATCTGTGACAGAAATGTTCCGTCTGTGAGGCAGCTAACTGATGCTGTCACTGCACCAACATGGAGCAACACAGGCCACTGACAAACACAGTCTGACAGGGACGTGCAGTGTAGAGACACACACACACACACATAGACAGAAGTCCTCATCATGAGGACTCCACAGCAGTAACAGGCAGGACAACCTTCATTCCCAGGGTTTATTTTCTCCTCCGGGTTTCAAGCAGATACTTTTTCTAACAGGGTCTTTTTATAAGTGATGGAGATATTTTGATCAGTTCTCAGGCAATTTTTTATTTATTTTTTCAAATGTTGACACTTCTTTCTTCAAAATCTTTCTGTTTCTGGGCAATCTATAAGTCCCTGTGTTTGCTCTTGGCTCCTGGTTTTCTAGTGTTGTTTACTTCACAGTAAATGTCTTTAACTGCAGGTCTGTAATATGTTCTGTATGGTGGGGATACACACATCCACCTCTCTATTAGTTTGGATGGGGCGTTTGGTGTGGTACCTGGTCCAAAAAGCTAAAGACTGGACTCAATGTTTAAGCTAAGCTACATTGGTAATATTTAACTTCATCTTTGATGGCACTTTCTGCTTGGGGCTGCTGTTTTCAGTGTTACAACTGTTGTTTAGCTTCTGACCATGTTATCATTTACTAATTTTTTCCAAATTACCGCTGAGGGCAGATGTGGATGGGTGGAAAACTGATATTTGTCAAGTTTTTGGCTAACATTTAGCAACTTTCGCTGTTTTGTGTTTAGTTTTTGTGCTACAATAGATGGACATTTCTGACTAAGATGCTTCATAGTTAACAATTCACAAGGCACTTTCAGTCTGAACCAGTATAAAATGCTAATTTGTGAACAGTGTTATTTCGTGAATATACACCTAATAAAAATAGTTGAATATTTTTATGTGACCGTGAAGTTAAAAAAAAAAAAAAAAGCAAACTAAACTACAAGCGTCGATTTTAGTTCAAAAGGAAAAGCGGATCACATCTCTTCCATTCGTGGATGTAGTCTACCACCCAGTGGTAGAAAAGCGAACTGCATAAAAATAATATGACTAAATGTGGACGTGTTTATAGACAATCTATACATCTAACAATAACAGAAATATATTTGTTTAAACCTGATACTTTTTTTAATAAAGATTAAATGAGAACAAATCCAAAATGTCAGACATTAGGTTGTGATCGTTGGCTTTCTTGCATGTTAATACATTATGCAGGAAATTTTAAATAATCTAAAATTATTATCAATTAAACATGAAACTAAACATGTTCTACCCTTACCCTATTTATAGGTAGTTTGTGCTTAATTTTAGTTATATATTTTTAAACTGTTTTAACTAACAGTTTTCAAATGTCTAGTTTAGATTTAGGATTTAAGCCCAGATCTCTGTTTGTTTCTGGCCCTAGTTACAAATAAAAACAAATCAAGAATTTATCAACTTTATTGAAACAACTTTACAGACAAAGGACTGTCAAAAATAGAAAGTGTGGTATCAATAGTGAACAAACAAACTCACTGACATCTTGAGCATTTGTTTAATAATAAAGTTCAGGTTTTAAACATAAACATAACTGCCTCTTTGTGTCCTGCTAAAAGTGGCTGCAGCTGCCCCTTAACAAACAAGATTAAAAATAAACAAACACAGGCTCAATGTAAAACTGTTGCAGGTTCCTGAACTGTAACCTCACCGTCAGTGGGTCACAAAAAAAACAAAACATCAAAACGAAAACAAAGCTGTCCTGGCTACAAATATCAAGTACTTAGGGAGTGTTGAACATCACTCGGATGGAAAAAAAACCCCAACATTAAATATAACAAAAAAATAATTCAACATTCATCCCCCCAGAAATCTCACAAGTCAAATTGTATATTCCCAAAGAATAAATATTGTATTTTACCATCTTCTAAGAATCCATAACCTGATGGCTTTGTTTCAAATGCATAGACTCTCTGTAGGAGATGAATGTAATTAATTCAAACACAACTAAAATAAAATAAACACAAGAATGAGAACAAAGCAAGTTTTCAAAAAAGTAAAAAACAAAACAAATATTTTACAGTCTTCAAACCTGTTTTTCTCCAGTACCTTTAACTCTAATTGTACCTGGACATGAAACAAGTGTAGTTGTTTAGACTGTCGGTCTGGTTGGAGACAAAAAGGCAAATTTGAACAGAACTTTTTTTTTTAATTGTTATTTAAAAAAAACTAAAACATTTTGAGCCAACTGGCAACAATGATGTTTAAGTCACTGACTCTGGACTGTAAAGTTGGCCTGAGGACCAGTGAAAGTGTCACTTTCTTTCCTGATGTAACTGCAGTCAGGCTGTTTATATAACACTGCTTAGATGTGGTGTCTCAGTTCATGTACCTCTAATTAATGTAGGACTGTTGAATCAGCCACAGCCCAACTTTAAGGCTTGTCCCAGTTCATTAGCACCAACAAACATGGCTTAAAAACTCAAGTCTAAAATCCCTTTAGTGACCTGGGACACAGCAGACCACGTGGACCAACGTCTCTAAGTTCAATGTGCTGTCAATGTGAAACAACTTTGATGAGGGTAAAACATTAGTGTGACTACAGTTAGGGCTGTTGGCCATGACTGATGTGTTTACAGGTTTAATGAAACATTAATTTAAACTCATTTTCTTCAGCAGGTTTCCATAGTGCATTATAGTCACTGTAGCTTCTCCACTTAACCCTGTATGCGTTGTTCACATTAATACGTCGTCAACCTATGATGTACAGTTAATCTCAGTAATCTGCTTCATTTCATCTTCCACGATGTGGAGTAACTAATATGAGCTAGGTTTAAAAAACAAATTCTATAACATCAGGTGAAACAATGCTACTCATAAAAATATTTTGAATTCCACTCATCTCTTTGCATAAAATTCTATTGTGGATTATCATCTGCCCCCTGTTTTAGTCGAGTTATGGCTACTTCCTCCTTGTTCATCCAGAGGCAACACGATGCATCTTCGTGTTGAAGTCACAGACCCTGAGGAACAAGTTTAACGGCTGTTGGTCTGCAGGACATAAATAAAAAATATTTTATTAGCATCACCAGGCTACAGATAAACAAAGTAAACAGTTGTTTACTACAGTCTTACATTTACTCATTCACCAGGTTGTACATGGTTGTAGATATGTCCAGATTAGTGTTCAATCATTTGTATTATATCAGCTCTACAGACTGTTGCCAGTTTCTCTGAGAGTTAAAAACAAAGTACAGTCACCCTGAGTGACAGGCTGATGACACACCATATGGAGATGCTGTGTGAGTTTGGCCCTGAGGGACGACTACTGCGTCTCTGTACTAGCTTCCTTGTCAGCACCTCTTAGAAAAAGTAGACGAATCTACACAGTAGGATTGTAGTCAGCTGTCTCTACATAGACACACACACACATGAACAGCACTGACTACAAACTGTGATATAAAAATGTATTTTTATATTCAGGGGAAAGTCAACTACTAAACTAACAACCTGTGCATTTAGTCACCAGGCTTTAAATCTGAAACTACATTTTATATGGCGGTTCACTTACTTGTTTGGGAGATTCAGAGGAAGGATGGACTTCATTTCCAAAACCTCCATCGAGCTGCAATAGTGCTGCGAAAACAAGATAAATCAGGTTAAAAATTTAATTTAAAATTTCACATTTGTTCTTTTTTAATCCTCAGTCATCTTTCGTGGTCTTCCTTCCTCGTTTACAGTGATTTAGATACAAAGACGTTCTCGTGGAATAGAAGGTGAGGGTTCTGCAGTTAAACTGCCAACCAAGGTTCTGACACTTGTTAACAGATTGATTCAGATTTGTATTGTTGATAAAGACCAGAGGTCCTTCTTACCTTGGGGATCGATCCTGGGATCAATAAGAGACCAGTGCTGATAGAGCAGAGCCAGATCATGAGGACTGTAGTTTTTCAGCAGGCTGAAAAGATCAACGTTCATTGGCGGGTCTCCTGCAGGCCCACTCCTTCCCTGA